GTGGATTTATTACCTGAGATTCAATCATTTCCTCAGAATAGTATCCATCAAAGTAGTCATCGATAATACCCACTAATGTCCTGAAAAATACCATTATAACTTAGATGGCAAAAACTAATGCAGCTATATTTCAGTAAAAAATTATAATTCTTCTTCAACCTACCAAAATGCATTTTCCTCGGGCATCAGCAGCAATAACAAGCCTGCAAAGAAGTTCATGGCCTGCAGGCACATATTCCCCAAGAAAAAAATGCACCACAATGTGATAAGAGTTTCAATATTTAATGCACAACTAAATAAATTATGCTTCATATTTCAGTTCATAATGTTAGAAGTGTTTAATCCATGAAATCGCTTGTGGACTGCATGGATCTTTTCTTGCCACTGAACTTTGTTGAGGACACTGAGCGCTGTAGTTTATGCCCAAATAGATTATATGTGCAATATTGGAAGATCAATTTACAAAAAATCAGTTTAAATGTATTCGTTTATGTAACTAGTCTTACAAACGTGCCTAAGTAATGGTTCCCAAATCCCAATTTCCTAGAAGTTAGACAGAAGACCCAGAAGTAACAAGAGATCATTAAATACCAACACCCATCATTCCCATTTTCTTATCATCCTTGTCTCAACACACTACCTTTCCTTCCTCATCGTAAACACTGGGTAACAAGATCGCAATATGGATGTGGACCAAGAGCATGTTCCCAATCAGACAAGTTTAATTCTTAATTTCAAGATAGATTCTTGATATTGTAAAGTTTTGCAGTAATAGTTTTCTTAAGCATGTTAACTAATGTTTATCTAGTGTGAAGCTTGAACAAATTCTCCTTAGGCAGTGAAACTTTTGTCTTTCAAGCTACTTATACATCATTGGTCATTCTCTACAAACCAATAGATTTTCCAGATGATACTAGTAATTTAGCAGTCATCTTTTTCTTTTTCATCATTATGTTTTCTTTTTCTTGCATAGAAATAATCAATATTCGCTATTTTCAATCATGCAGCTATATTCAAGGATTTGATAACACCATACCTCAAGTCATCAATTCAAATTTAGTCGAACAGGTCTATGCTGACTGGCATTTGCCAGACCAACCATGGAACAACACATGAAGTGGGAAATTTTCCTGACCCAATTTCATATCAGGCATACCACCAGGTATTGCTACATGTACCGAGCTTAATAAAAAATAATCCTAGTTTTCATTGCTAAACCCAAATGGACAAGGCTTGTAGTAATGGTTTCTGATCTCATATACAAATGAAAGCCTTCAATCTCATTGATGAGAACAACATAGAAAGAAGTTAGAAAACGAATAGAAGATTACTAGAATAGATTGAATTGCAAAAAGCTCAATGCTACCTGGCAGTATCCAACAGATGGATTATGTCGAGCATAAGCCGTGAGTAGACGCCTCAAAGCATTCCTTCCATCCTCATCCAATGCAGGGTGCCCTGGAAATGTTCGGGGCAAATCCTGCAAATACAACAATGTCAAGTTTACCTTTGATAGCAATAGCTTCAATGACAGTACATAAACTGCATTTTGAATTAAACCTCCTTCATATGACAACCTTCTCAATTTGTCCCTTCCATTTCTCTGGACTGCACCTTTCAGGTGCTTTTGACATCTTGTTATTGTCGTCTGTGTTGTTGGAGGACTCATGTTCTTTTCCATTGCCACTTTCAGCTTCGGGAGATAGTAAATTATCATAATACCCCTTAATTCTACGAGCTCTCACGCCCACAAAAGCTTGCCACAACTGCAATTGGAACAAGAAAAAAGAATAATGCCAAATTGAATATGACAGAGCATTTATAAGTTCAACAAAATGGTTCTGACTGCACCTCTCCTCTCAAAGCCATCGGCACACCCCCACGAACCAAGCTTTCCAACTCTTCTTTCCAAGGGAAGCAAGGAACATCATTCAAAGCCAAATCCGAACTTGATGATGCCTCTTGCACCAGCTCCGGTCTCTCGACATCGTAAAACTCTTCCTCTGATTCCTCCTCCGGTGCCCCTCTCACTGGCTTATGCACACCTCTGCTCTCCTCCTCATCCAAAGCATGATAGGATCGGCCATTTCCAGCTTCTTCTCCATCTCTAGATGGTCTCCTTTTCTTGACTCGATGGCTCATCATCTGCTCGATGGCACTCAACGATGACCTTATGTGACTCCATATGCTTATTTTGTGAGTTTTCACCTCCCCTGTATTCTCTGTCGCAACTTCCTCTGAGCCATCAAACCTGATAGCCCCATTCTGATCAATGTCCTCTCCCCCTGCAACATCTGGTGCTCCTGCAAGACCTTCATCATCTACCAAAGAATTGCTCGATGGCACCTCAGCAGTTTCCCCGAGTCGGTCCAAGAAGTCCTTCCATCGGTTGGATCTCTCTTCCTCCTCCTCCTGCACTATCAACAGCATCCATGTAATCAGTAAGAGACCTGCTGAATAATAACCAGCCCAAGATGCAAGATCAGAAGACATCGAAACGTTGCCTTGTAGATTTTTGAGTACTCGTGGTATCTCTGCAAGTGCTGAGGCCGCACCGTAAACCCATAGGCATCCCTGATCCATAATTCCATCATCAATACAAACATTACACAAAGAGAACACAGGGAATCAACTCACGGTTCAAGATTCAAGATTCAAGTTCAAGATTCAAGATTCAAGAAACCAGAAACCCAACCCCTTTTTCCCCGAATAAAAGAAGGACGATCTTTAACCTGGACTCGACATCCATATAGAAAGAAGGACCAGCTACAGCGTCGAGACGAATAATCCGAGGCGATCGCCCACGGTACTAATTGCGGGCCGCCGTCGGAGCTAAAACCCTAGAAATCCGGTGGATCCGGAATCCTACCAACAAGGGCGACGGCAACCACTAAGTCCGAATGCCATCCGAGGAGTAATTTCCGTCACGCACATATCCAAAATGGCGGACGAAAGGTATATCCATGAGCGGGCAACTACATTGGCCAAATCAACGCAGCGTGGACGAGGAAGACGAAATATTAAATGAAGACACGCGATCAAAAGAAGAAGAAGAAGGGTCAAAACCGTATTTCTCTATAAAGAGAGAGAGAGAGAGAGAGAGAGAGAGCGGGCGTCACGGAGGAACAGGGGATCACGTGGCGCGATCGGCGCGACGAGGACGACCGACCTCTTAAGCTCGACGGTGGGGATAGGGGGCCGGCTCTTCCCCTTCATCGCCGCCGCCCGCCGCCCGCCGCTGACGGCGCCCTTCTCGCGATGGGTTCCAGTGCACCTCGGTCGCGTCGTGGCGGAGCCCTTCTCGGCCGTTATATCACTTGTATCGCCCTCTACCCATTGCACACATATATATAGTCTGTGTACACTAATCCACAAACATCAGTTCATTGATCGCATGTCGTTACAGCTCATAATCCCAATTATATGCAAACTTATTAGTATATAAACCCCTTTTTACACTCTCTAATCATGTGTTTTATTTTCATTAATTCTCAACACATCCAAAACAGAAGACTTTTTTGAGAAAATGGAGATTAACGTGTTTAACCGACTGAGTTTAATATTAGGAATGCCATGTATTAATTACTTGGTGTTTCAGTTGATAACAAATCTTTGTAATAGCTTAGTAGATCGATTATAATTAAACGACCCTTTTACCTCATTCACTAAAATTAGTAAGTAAGGTGTTCCTCCATCAATGTCATTATCATCATGCCAGATAAAAACCTGCATTAACAATGAAACAAAAGGCTGTCATCGGAGTGTGTATGATGGCAGAAACATCATGTTTTGTCTCGTAGTCGATGGTAACGTGACACGCCTCACATGCCTTCTGTGTAACATAAAGCGAGACGGAGGCGACATGCACTCATCACATCGACCGTCGCTATGTCTTTCGTCTCTGTGGCGGGCCCAAATCGAGCCTAATCTGTTTGGGCTGCACCGCACGGATCCGGATCTGATATGATTATATCTCGGAGCTCGATCCGATTCCTACCCAATTGCTTCGAGCGGGTAATGGCCGAGTCCCGACTCCGTTTTGATGGATGAGGCTATCTGTCCCGCTCCAACGGATAGCGGCCGCGGCCACGGCCGCCGAAGTGCGGTGGGCAGTGGGGAGTGCCGCCTCCCATGGCCTGGCGGCGCTGCCGGACATCGGCGCTTACGGTCTCCTCATCCAGCGCTGCGCCGATGGCGGTTGGCTCCGCCAGGGCCAGCAGCTCCACGCCCGCCTCGTCGTCTTCGCCGTCGTCGCTTCCAACTTCCTCGCCTCCAAGCTCATCTCCCTGTACTCCCGCTGCGGCCGCCTCCACGATGCCCGTCGCATGTTCGACGACATCCCCCGTCGCAACCTCTTTTCGTGGAACGCCATGCTCCTCGCCTACGCCCTACACGGCCCCGCCTCCCACGCCATCCGCCTCTTCTCCTCCTTCCCCACCTCCCTTTCGCCCGACGCCTTCACCCTCTCCGCCCTCCTCAAGTCCCTGTCGTCCCTCCCACCTTCCTCTTCCTCCGCCTACAGGAGCGCCCACGCCTTCGCCGTCCGCCACGGCCTCGTCTGCAACATCTTTGTCTCGAATGGTCTCATTACAGCCTACGCTCACGGGGACGATATAGCGTCCGCTCAAAGAGTTTTCGACACAATGCCCCAAAGGGACATCGTCTCCTGGAACTCGATGATAGCCGGCTACTCGCAGAGCGGTCATTACCAGGAATGCTTGCGACTGTACCGGGAGATGGAAGCGAGATCTGGCGGCGTGCTTCCTAATGCGGTCACCGTCGTGAGCGTGTTGCAGGCTTGCTCTCAACTCAAGGATTTACTTTTCGGCATGGAGGTTCATCGCTTTGCTGTGGAACATGGGATTCAGATGGAGAGAGTGGCGTGGAATTCAGTCATCGGCTTCTATGCCAAGTGCGGGAGCCTGGATTCTGCCCGACGACTGTTCGAGGAAATGAGCGACAAGGATGGAGTCAGTTATAGTGCGATGATAACTGGGTACATGAGCTACGGGTTCGTCAGACCAGCAATGGATGTCTTCCGGCAAGCAGTTGCGCCCGTCCTTAGTACATGGAATGCCGTGATCGCCGGTCTAGCACAGAACAATTACCATGATGAAGTTTTGGACTTGGTATGCGAGATGCAGGCCTCGGGTTTCAGTCCTAATTCAGTGACACTTTCAAGCCTTCTTCCAACCCTCTCATTCAATTCGAGTCTGCTGGGAGGGAAACAAGTCCATGGCTACGCCATTAGAAATGACTGTCATCAGAACATATATGTTGCAACTGCACTCATCGACACTTACGCAAAATCTGGTTTTCTTGAAGGCGCTCGACGAGTTTTCGATGTGTCAGCGGGCAGAAGTGTCGTCGTCTGGACCGCAATCATATCGGCCTATGCGGCTCACGGAGACGCGGATGCTGCACTGAGCCTGTTTGATAGAATGCTCGACGCTGGGATCGAGCCGGACCCAGTGACTTTCACCGCGGTGCTCTCGGCTTGTGCTCATGCCGGGGCAGTGGATGAAGCTCGCCACATTTGTGATGCCATGTCTTCCGTTTACGGAGTATCACCAACGGTGGAGCATTATGCTTGCATGGTTGGAGTGCTTAGCCGTGGTGGGATGCTCAAGGAGGCCGTCAAATTCATCGATAAGATGCCGATAGAGCCGAATTCTAAGACATGGGGCGCACTGCTCAATGGAGCAGCAGTTTATGGTGATGTTGAGGTTGGGCGGTTTGCATTTGAGCAGCTGCTTGAGATTGAGCCCGAGAACACGGGGAATTATATCGTCATGGCCAATTTGTATTCGAAGGATGGGAGACGGGAGGAAGCCAAAACGTCGAGGGAGAAGATGAGGGGAATCAGGTTGGAAAAGACTGCTGGTTGTAGTTGGATTGAGACGAGTGATGGGCTGCAGGTGTTTGTGTCTCGGGATACATCAAATGGACGAACAGACGAATTATATGCAGTGTTAGAGGGACTGCTTAGATTGATTAGGGAGGAAGGTTATGCTTACAGCAATGAGTTTGATGAGGAGACTGAGTCTTGTGTTCAAAATGATGAGAGTAAGCAGCAGCAGACTCTCTCTATTGCTTCAGTTTGAGAATGCATGAGGATTGATTTCCAATTACTTTGACTGTAAAAGTTGACTGCCTGTCTATTGATTTCCAATCTATAATTGTGTCCATGTGATTAACACGTTGTCACACATGCGAATACACGTGGGATGATCATTGACCATATTATTTTGACCATATCATTATTAATTGAAAATTACGATTTTGGCGGATCGAATCGCCGTTAAGACTATTTAAAGTAATGTTATTATATCCGCACATGCGCATCAAATACAGATCACGTGTCCGCGCGATGTGGTCGATCGGGTAGATGTGCCAGCTCGAAACAGTATGCAACGCTATAAGGATGGTTTCAATTCCGCCTTATCAAGTCTCGCATCCGATTGGTCCGAAGCGTCTCGGAGATCGCCGATGGCCGCCGCACCGACACTTAGGTAATCCTTCTTCATAGGAAGCACTTTGTTTTGACGTCTTCGGTCTCCTCGGTTCCGATCTAAGCGTGTCGGAATAACCCAAAACTTATTGTATTTGCCTCATCTCGTGTGATTTGTTTGTTTGCTTCTGCCTCTCCTTTTTGTAGCATGGAGACTCTTCCCCCTAGTCTCACTTCTGCTTCGGAACCGCCTGCGATCTTTGATGGCACCACCAGGTATCCATATTCCTTCCTTTGTTTGGCTTTGTGACGAATTGTTTTTGAAAAGGCAAAAAAAAAGATCTTTTTTTTATTGGCGTATCCTCATTTGTTTTCGGGGTTTGGATTCTAGGTTGTATATAGCTTATATATGTCCATATGCGCAACGCACCTGGATAGCTAGAAACTATAAGGTACATCTCTCTTAATCAGTAGGTAATTTGCTGCAAATAGATGTGGCTTCAACCCTATTTGTTTTGGATCCAACACCTGCGATCTTTTTCATGAAAGTTCATTCTTCTAATTGGCGATGTTTCTGGAACATGACAACGCTTTTAACCTGCTTTTACGTGAAATCAGGGATTGCAGGAAAAGATCGAATTGGTGCCCATCGATCTGCAAAATCGACCGGCATGGTACAAGGAGAAAATTTACCCTGCAAATAAGGTCTTGTTCGCTCAAGAAACTGTTCTCTTGGCATTTGTCTTTGGTTTTTTGATGCTAGTATGTGATTATTGCCTTGTGTTCTATAGGTACCTTCTTTGGAGCATAATAACGAGGTCAGAGGAGAGAGTCTCGACTTGGTTAAATATATTGACTCCCATTTCGAAGGGCCTGCATTGATGCCTGATGTAAGATGCAAACGAACCTTCTCTTGCTTAATCAGGAGTTCTCTTCCACCAAAAAAAGGTTACATTTACCAGTTGTTGCCGGAAATTTGTAGGATCCTGCAAAGCAGCAGTTTGCGGAGGAGCTGCTGTTGTACAGTGATTCCTTTAATATGGTTATGTACAAAGCAATGCCTGCTAAGGGGAATGTCAGTGATGAAGTTGGTCAGTGAAGAACTCTCTATGGTTATCATTATTAGGGATTTGATTGTTTAACATAGCGCTGATCTGCTTAAACCTTTTGAATCAGATGTTGCTTTAAACAAAATAGAAGATGCTTTTTCGAAGTTTAGTGATGGACCCTTCTTGCTTGGAAAATTTAGTCTGGTATGTCAGAATTTGGATATACTTCTTTGTCGTTGAATTGCTTTTGGTATTATTTTGCAGGGATTTAAAACTAATCTTAATTCATAAAGTGAAATGTTTTCTCAACATCCAGACAAACTTGTGTGCTGGACATCCTTGTCGATTTCTTATGCCATGCAGTAGCATTGCCGGCTTATTTAATTTGACACTTATACAAACATTTGTGAAGTTTAATTGTGTTGGTTCAGGCTTGACACTTTAACAAACATTTGTGAAGTCTGACAACGATCATTTGAGAATTCTGTCAAGCTTTGAGTTTTGTATCAATATGAATTAGAGGCTTTTTCCCTGAAATATCACTTCCAAGTACTACTGTTTAGTTGACTAACTGCAGGTAAGATATGAACCGTGGCAAATTTGCTGCTCAGAGATAATTTCTTTGTTTTATATTCCTTTCTAGAATGTCTACGGGTTTGTTATGTTCAGAATGATATGAAATTTTTTTTTTTCTATTTTTAGTATAGAGTAAGATTTTCAATAATTATTCTTCTAACTACTATCATGTTTAAAGTTTACTTATTCTTATGCATTTTAGGTGGACATTGCATATGCTCCATTCATTGATAGATTCCAGACTTTCTTTTTGGATGTGAAGAATTATGATATCACCAAAGGCAGGCCTAATCTGTCATCATGGATCGAGGTATTCCGAAGTCCCAAAAAATACAACACTATAAAGCTGGCTATATTCTGGTCCTTATAGTTATGCTTTTGCTTTTCTAGGACAATACATGCAACGATAATTTCACCAAAGATCTATAATTGGATATGTGAAAGCTCAAGTTGTGGTGTTTTATTTAACTTTGTCTGTTCAGCTCATCATTTCTCTGAAACCTTCCCTTGCTTCCTCAGTTACTGCATCATTGGAACTCTAGTCCAAGCCAGAAGCGTTTCTCTAGTTATAATTGTGAACAATCTTTGATGAAATCATCCTTACCATAAATAAAAAACCTTACTTTACCCGGTTTGTATGGAAAAGGTTTAATGAGACATGGAATTTTGAGGACTAATCAACATTACTAGCATTTCTTATACTGGGGCTTTGAGGCAGGTGCATGCAAATGGATCATCTACGAGTCACTTATCTTTTCTATGGTAATGCTAATTTCTAAACCTTGTTCCTGTCACCCCAGAAATATAATCTTCATAGCGTCATCAGATTTCATAACAGAGTGTTTGTGTTGACACTAGAAGAGCAAATTGTGGCTATTTAATTTGTATCCCACTGGGAAACAGATATGTTTGAAGTTTCATCCACGATCCAATGCACACATTTCAAAAGTAATTTGGACTTAACTAATTATTATGTCAATTTCACTCGCATTGGAGCTTGTGAGTGTACTGTTCCTCTGTAAGTAAACCTGACATGGCCTGTTTTAATCTTCAATTTTGTTCAGTTTCTTCTACAAGTTCTTGCATACATCAATTTTGGCAAATACATTCAGACAGTACCACTTGTGGCATTCAATTTTTTTTCCGTTTCTTCAGGCATAATCTATTAAACTTCTGCATATTCTATCTTGGCAAATACTTAACCCCAAAGGAATGCTGTTTCAGGAGTTGAACAAGATTGATGCTTACTCGCAAACCCGAATAGATCCTCAAGAGCTGCTGGCTGCGACCAAGAAGCGGTTTGGGGTGAAGTCCTTTACCAGTCATGATTCTTTAAATTCAATTGCTGTGTCAAAAACCATTAACGTTTTAATTGCTCAACAACAGTACTTTTCTTTAATATGCTTTTTTTTTTTTCTTTTTACCAGATTGCCTGAAGAATCATCTACATAATCATCAGGTATTATAATAAGGCAGACTTCGAAATTTGTGGAGATGCGTTTTCTTGAGATTTGAAATGAATTTTATTTATGATCAAGAAGCTAAAATAAGAAAAATGTGAGATTGGTCCAGTGGCTGGATTCAACTACTCTTTTGGATGCAATGACTTCATATTGGGTTGGACTGTGTTAGTAATGCAATGTATTCTCTTAAGCTCCAACATTGTCTCTGGATTGGAAATAATTGAACGTGTTTGAGATATATTATCATGGAATTTAACTTTTCTGCTCACCTCCTCAGTACTTCCTCTTCCAGCTTGTTGGACAAAATTTGGAACAGAGAAATTGTTGGAGGCAGTAACTTCAAAAAATTGATCTGTTTTGGCTGTCTCATTGCAAAATATTCTACATCAAAATGTAAATATATTGCAGTGACATGTTGCGGTTGGGCATTTTGGCTCTCTCGATACAGTGAAAGCATAAACAACAGAGTCCTCAACTACAAAGCAGTCGAATTCCAATCTTCTAATCTCAAAGAAATCCAAAAATATTAGAGACTGAGTGCAGCATGGTTTAGCTTGTAGTAGGCTTTAAACAAACTGTAAAGATAAGAAACTTAAGAAACCCGAGCATCAGAACAAGAACAAAAAAAGGGGGCATGGGGAGATAAATATCAGCTCTATTTACAGAAGCAAACTAAACTACTAATGTCTGTCATGAGATGAAAGAAAACAGTGGTCTTTACATAAGATGTCAGATGCCAGGTAATGAAAAGTCATTGCTCTCCTCTCTAATTCATCTAATTCTACTTCTTTTTTGTTGATATCTAAGCTGCCGCTGGATGCAGCAGTGAATTCAAATATCGGTTACATAAACCTGTCCATACTCTACTTTAGGATCCTCCTCATCCAAGTAATCAGCTCTTGCGTTGAGCGTCAAGATCTGACAGATGAACCAAAAGAGCGATGCGTCGAGGGCAAGAAACGCAGCGCCACCAAAGAGACCCGTCTTGGCGGTAGGGCATTGATATCCGAGATCATGATGAACGTTGCGAGAATGATGAAGACCTTCTGTGATGGTAACCCACATCATCATCGCCAGAGCTAGAGCCGAAATAGCCCTGAGAGTAGTGTCACTAAACATCAGAGTGCATGGCAAGCATGCCTAATTCAAAAGCATAGCAATGACATAAAACAGAAGAAAACTGCATAAACTAATTCAGAAGGCATAGCAATGACATAAAACAGAAGAAAACTGCATAAAGATATGAGACGGGATGCTCAATATGCCGCGCCTATGCTTAGGCAGTAGTTAGGTGAAGGAATCATGTTAAGTAATAGTGCAAGGAGTAAAGAAGCACATTTTTTATTTCACACTATAACCAAAATAAACGGCAGGCTAACTCATAAGCCTAATAGTACAGTGCGGCACAAAATTTTTTTGAAAGATGATATGAAGCAAATGACTGTGGAATGACAATTTAGAACAAAAAAGAAGTGAAGATCCACCAAGCGAAATAAAATGTGGAAGATTTGAACTTCGAACAAAATGCAATAGACAATATTTACGAACAGATTCATCACTTACAATTATCGAATAAAAGTTGGATAAGAATTGTATTGAAGGAGATAAAGGAAGCTTACTCAGCAATGATAAAAAACACAAGCAATGCAGCACTCCGAAACAAAGCATGACTTGGAACGGACTTCCCTTTGTATGGGAAGTAAACAGCAACATGCCCTACGATAGCAGATAGGAGGAGTGCTAGTAGTGATAAAATTCCCAATGCAACCGATGGATCACTTGGGTACTTGCAGATAACAACATTCTTTCCTTGGATTGGAATCCCGTGTGTCGGCTGTGAGAACATGAATAGGAGTTGGTGAGGCCTAAGAACAGAATTGAGAAGATAAAGACATGCACATACACAGATAACTACTTGAAATCCAGAATATGTCATCCCTCCCAGAATTATCTTTAATCTACTTACATAATCACTGCTAAGATTCCTACCAAATTTTTTACTAAAAACTGAGAGTCTGATAATGAATGGCTTCCTCTATCCAACATAAAATAGCAAGAGAGAGAGAGAATTTTCATGCCACCACAATATGTTAAATTGTTAATAATGAATAATTATGAACTAAAAGTATAAAAATTAATCCAGGAAAAGAAAAGCTGATGAGAAATAAGATGCAAATGAAATAACCTCAGCGATAAAGATAAATAAAGCTAAGTGTTGGGATAGAGATAGTGCAAATCAAATGGACAAATGAACCATAAGAAAAGTCCATTCCGTTCATACAATGAATAATCAGGATTTAACTTCCATAAAAATCCTCAATACTGACATGAACAAAAGTAGAATCATATTATGGTTTCTCAAGAAAAACCAATAAGAATTTAGTAACTCCACGATATAGATGGGAGATAGCAAGACACAGACATCTATTTACAGTAGCAAAAGCAAAGTGTCACCATTATAGTAACACACAAACAAGATGATTCCTGACAGTAGCAAGCATTTACTGTTGAATAGATTTAGAATCTTTAGACTTCAACTACATGTCTAAGTAATTTGCATTAAAGAACAGATTAGAAAAAGAAAGTTCACTCATATCCAAAAATTATCAAGAAAGGAAAAGTTTCCCATATAAAACATCAAAGTCCATTATCAAACTTCACTTTTTAACAATTCCTCATAATATATCAAATTAAAAAATACCTTTTTGTTTTCTGCAATAATGGCAAATATGAAAGATAGAGAACCAAGAAAAGCCACCAAAATTGCAATTATTTTGGATTCCTGTAGTGCCATTGTTCGATCCTCAACAGTCCCTGTACCAAAGAAGTAAAAGGAGAAAGTAAGACTAAAAGCTCTATGCAACAGTCATTCATGGAGCAAACACTAAAAACCTTCACACACTAAACAAAGACAAGAAAGAAGTTGACATCTAGCTTCATTTCAATGGCAAATTCAACAGAACTAACCAAACAAATCAGCTCTCATCACGCACATATATGAGTCACTCAATGCAAATTGCAAAGGCTAGTTATGAATTCCATCTGTCAGATAATAAAACAATACTTCTCAAAAGCATTGTAACTTATGGAATAGGCTTTTACAGCTTCAGGATCTAATTAGTCATGACAGTGGAAGTACTAAACTAATTAGGCAAATGATTAGGATCTTAAGTAAATTTCTCCTTTCAGGGGGATGTTAAATTTTATAAACCCAACTAATGAGAAAGATATGTCTCAATATCGATTATAAGTATTGCCAACAAAGATTATGACAGCATTGGTGAACAGTGTCTCGAAATAGACACAATAGAAAAGGATTCGTGTCAGAGTCTGTGGTATACTAACAGAGAACCAATCGAAGAACCCAAAACTGGCATGAAATAAGTGAGAGGAATATCACAAAGCCACCAAATATCATTCGTTTGAGGCACTCTAAAGTAAACTTCCAATAGCATATTTGGAGTGAAATATTTCACCAAAAGAAAATTGGAAATAAAGTAACTTGAATGTGAATCAAAATCTTGATACTAATTCAACCAACCACACAAATCAAAACCAAAAATGTCACCAAAACCGATTTAATCTGATATGAGAACATTAAACAAGTATATAATCTTCAGTCCAGAATCAGCAACGAAAAAGGAAAGACTATGAAACATCAGCGGATGAAACCAGAAAAACAAGACGACATCTTCGCATCGGATAAGTCTCGCAGGAACCAAATCCTTTGTTCTCCAGCCTCTTTCGAGTGAACTTACACAAGTACTGAATCCGACGTCCTCCGATCAACAAAGAGACCAATCAAGATCGAATCTTGACACCCGCGCAACGCAGAAAAATCATCAGAAACAAAAAGGGAGAGAACATGAGCATGACAAGGGCTTCGATACCTCTCGGATCCCTCGGCGGAGAAACCTGGAGGAGACGATAGTTTTGAGTCGGGCGGATTACCCACAGCTCCCCTACGGAAAATATAGTTAGGAGCAAACGAGGGTATTTTGGTAACTAAACTTACTAGCTGGCGGCAGTTTCGTGAGATGGGATCCTATCCGGTAAACCCGCAAGTTTCGCTACGATATATCCACCAGAGATTTGGTGAGGCCATCCACAACGAACGGTGGTGATGCGGCGGAACATATTTACTGCAGATTGGACGGGATCCGAATCCTCCGGCCTTGAGGTCTCCCAAACTCTAGGATCAATATCAACCCTGACCGATGGATCGGCCGATCCGTCGTCGATAAGCGGATTCTGGCCGTTCAATTTTCCATATATATATATATAATATATCTTTGAGCTTTGGAGACAAAAATAATACATTTCAACATTTTGAGTCGATCATCCCATGGAATATAGAGATTGTATTTGTATAATAAATACATCACAAAATAGAACACCTTGAATGATGATTTGGAAGGTTTCATCAATAATTCTATTTCTAAGACCACTGCAAATCATGTGTATTTATCATTATAATCATCATCAACCGAACAAGATTGCTTTTTATATTTATTCTGAGATCTACAATGATGTTCTGATACTTCCACAACATGTGCTGTGCAAGAAGCAAGTCGCAGAATCCTATGCCTTGAACAAAAGCAAAACAAAGATAGCTACATGTCGAGGGATTTGGAATAAGCTCTGCCCGACTCGTCATCGCAGAACAGCTCGGAAGAGAATACGCAAGCAGCAGTAAGAGAAAAAGGCTGCAGCAATGAGACATATGGTATCTCATCAACCAAGGTCTGGGAATGGAACGGGGACAGCCATGAGACGAGATGATGCAGTCAGTACATGATGTGCAAGAGATGCTTTCATCAATCAAAACATACATATCGTTGGTAGGGTTGCCGACATGCATCGGCAAACTCGTGCTCTTCGCTCCGCTGATGCTACCGCTTCTTCCCACCGGCAAGATGGTTGCTTTGCTCTTCAAAGGAATCAAAGGAGTGAGCTTGTCGTGTGCGTCTTCTTCTTCGGTAGCCATACGAGAGAGCATCGACAGAGCCAAGTCCATCGCCCTGCCGATCACCGGAAGAGGCAGCACGAGACCAAAGTCGCAGTGCGCGGCCTCCAAGCCCATGCCGACCGATGGATCAGTCAGTCCATCCAGCTCTTCTCGCTGCCTGTTAAGCTCGACCGCATTGCTGTCGGACGACCCCAGCTTCTTGAGCAGTAGAGGCGACGAAGAAGAATCTTTCTCAAAGCCACCGATCTCTTCTGCCAGACCACATGATCAGCAGGTACTTAATCGTCTGTTACGAGCTCTTCGTCTGCTGGAGAGAGATGTTTGATGTGGGTTGTATGATCCTCATAGGTTGTGGTTCTGAGAGTGTCGTTGCATTGCAAGGGTTGCGAAGGGAAGGTCAGGAAACACATCTCGAAGATGGAAGGTGAAGTAGTTATCTCTGTTTGGTTTTGGATCCTTCATCAAACCATGACCGTGGACTGTTTACAGGAGTCACATCCTTCAGCGTGGACTTGGCGACGAAGAAGGTGACGGTGATGGGAGACGTGACGCCCTCGGGAGTGCTCGACAGTATCTCCAAGGTTAAGAATGCTCGGTTCTGGTCGTCACCGCCTCGATCCTCGGCGTCATCCCAGTTGAAGGAACCCTGCTAGGGTTTGCCATTAGCACGGTTCAGAGAAGTGCGAGATCGCTTCAAGAGCAGGCATAGATATTGTAAGAGGTCGATCATTCTCTCTTTTAGCATCCGGATGTAAGGTTACTATGGAGTAGGAGTTCAACAGGTCAGTTCCTGTCATCCACCAATGCCTCCAATGCTCGGAGAGGTTTGGTCTCTTTGCCTTCACAGTGCATTTGGAGTAGCATTTCAACAGGCCATTCGGTGGGGATGAGGAGGCACATTTAAGTATGCTATCATCATCAAAAGTCCTCACTGGCAGGAAGTATGATCAAAGTTCATCAGAAGATGAGGTTAGTAGTCAAGAACTACACCAACAGAAAGATCTCAGGTATGAGGAGCTTGACAAGAGAAGTGGATTATCCATTTCTGCAGAGCATATCGACCGAAATGGGTCACAAGTTCATGGCTGGAAATAAGCCATACAGCAAGCGATACAAATCGGTATTCCTTGGCACAGGTAGCAACAAATAGTCTATGGTACGGCAGAGATCCGATGTAGAAGGATGATGCAGAAGCTGAGGGTTAGCCGCAGTTACCTGGGATTAGATGGCATAGATGCTATCGATCTCGGAATCAGAGAACTCAGAGGGGTGATGCCATGAGTTGGAGCCACTCCTCATGGACTTCTCCCTCTTCCTCATCGAACGGGTCCGCTTCGTCTTCACGACGTAGAAAGTCATGGTCCCGAGAACCCCGGCCATTATCACACCTCCTATTAGCGTGACCAGAACTGCGGCCCATTCGAAATGCCGGCCGACGACAATATAGGACGAGGCAATAAAAGAAACGCTGGTGCAGACGGAGGCCAGCCACATCAACTTGTTTATAACCTCGACGACACGCCTCTCCGCCTTCATTTCTCCCCTGACCAGCGTTATCTGAACCACCACCACGGCCAGTGAGGTGAACAGAGCAATAGCATTAAAGATGAAAAATACCTTGAAGCTCCCCTTTTGTGCAACTACTGCAGCTCCATTGTCATCGGTTCCACCGGGGACCGTAAAGATAGCCGCGAAAGCGACGGTAGCAAAGAGCACAGCAACCACGGTGACAGAGTTGGTGGCATTGTTAATGCCTTCACTGTGAAGTTTCTTGAGCTCCTTAGCGATACCGTGGACATTTTTGTTTGTTTTCCGGGTCTGCTCAAGCTGTATGTGAACATCATTTTTAATCTCGGTTACAGTCTGCCGCAGCTCATCTCGTGGCTGGTTTAGTTCATCGGCTCTGCATGCCCCACAACGAGATAAGCAGTCCTTAATGTCAGCAGACTCTTCAGAAAGAGGCAGGCCGTCAACAATATCAAGAGCAGTTTTATGATCTCTGGTCAATGTGTTCACATTAGTTTCTGGGAGGAGCAGTAGAAGATTAACTATCTGCAAGAAGTGACAAGAATTTGAAATATGCACAAAACAAGCTGAATCTAATCATCGATATTAGCAACGATGACAATGAGTTAATCGACACACCAACAAAACTTCAAATAATCCAAGTACTCAAACCTAAATCAAAAACAGAAGTTATATTTATAACTTCTGATGGCTAATCCAGCTGACCCAAGCTAAACTCAATGGTCACCTTCATTTAATGACTGCTTCCTAGAGTCATTGAATGTGCACATGTAATTTTTGGCAAAGCAACTAGTCAGAGGGTAAACTTTCTATGTCTCATTCAAGCCTGTTCTGAAACTTCTTACGAGTAGCTGAAGCATAAGTGCAACAACGTGGAATAGATAATGCAGTTAATCTAAGCAACTTAAATCAGAGCACCAGAATGAGACTGGCACTCCGTGTTCAAACAAAAGAAATAGCAACTCAAGCCAAATGTAACCAAAAGACATAATGAAGTAATAATACCTCTACACGTTTTTTTCTTGCGGCGACATGTAATGTTGTGTTCCCTGCTCTGTCTGGAAGCATCACAAGTGCTGGATCAGCATCCACAAGGGCTTTAACAACCCCACAACATGTTCCCTTCACTGCCATATGCAAAGCAGTCTGCCCTTTCTTATCGGTCCTTCTGGCAAGTTGTGAATCCTTTCCTAGTAGTGCTTTTACAATTTCCACATGACCCTGTCGTGCAGCAAAGTGCAGGGCATTTTTTCCGTTGTTTTTCGATAACTCAATTAAGCTAGGATCTTGTTCAAGCAAGAGATTTACAACTTCAGTATGTCCTCTTGTTGCTGCAGTTATAAGGGGAGTTGCATTTGATTGACCAAAAGTTTTGACAAGAGCTGGGTTATGTCCTATAAGCACCTGAACAATTGCTGTACATCACTTATTAGATAGAGCAAGATCTATTATTCCATGGACAAACATTCAGAAAGAAGTCAAGCAAACAATATACTGGAATAAAGAGTGTAACCAATAGCTTATAATAGGACTTCCTTTGCTTGATAAAGGCAAGGCAGACATTTAAGAAGAAGGTGACCTGAGTCTGAGTTCTAGAGGACTTTAAAGAATCAAAAAACAATAATGGTGATGCATCCTGATGAAAAATGACAACACAAATGTATTCAAAGAAAGACCTACATCAACAGGTATAAACAAAGTATTAACTGAACAAAGTATAAACAGTAAGCACTTTTGAATGTTGAAACGAAGTCGAAAATACAAAAAAGCTCTATAAAATTGTTCAGATAATTGTTCTGCATGTTTGGGAGAGCTGCAGCTTCTTGAGAAGAAGAGCAATGGCCACGTTTCAATTTGTTATAGTCAAGAAATATTCACAAATCACAGACTGTCCAACAAAATACACAAATCTTCGACACAGCCTTCTGCTAATTTTCTTAAACAAGTTGAAATAGTTCGGCATGTAACAGCAAAAGGAAGTGTAGGAAATATCTCTTCTTTGTAACTCTGTAAGAGGGCATTGTAAACCTCCTAATGCAGTAATTTGTTCGATCACACAAAGTTTCACATTTAGTACTAAAAGGAACAGAACCAAGGAAGTCTAGAACTTTATGCACCTCATAGGAGTTTAATTAGTTTAAAAGTAGAAGCATTAAGATCTAAGGAATGGTCCAAGGGAATTTACTAGTGTGTGCCAGTGAATTTACAATCAATCCTTTCCTACATCAGTTGTACCATTTGAGGCAGATTAATAGACAACCAATCGGACGGGAACAATTACAAAAATTAGGGCTAGAAAACAACAGCACAATTAATGAAGTCAAGAAATGAAAGCCCTCACCTTGGTGTCCTTCTCTGGCAGCGATATGGAGAGCATCAAATCCGGATTTGTTCCTCCTCACAAGGCTCTCCTGGTCGGAGTACTTGAGCAGCTCCACCACCACATCGAGAAACCCTTTCTCGGCCGCCGTGAACAGCGCCGTCTCATCCACCTCGTTGACGTCGTTCACCACGGCGGCCCGTATCTCCGCCACCTGGGCGTCGAAGTCCGCTCCCACCGCCGTCCCCGTCATCTGCGCGTCGATCTCGCCGAGGATCATCCGCACCGCCGCGAGGTCCCCGCGCTGCGCCGCGAGATGCAGCTCCGTGTCGTTGTGCCGCCCGGTCACCTGCTTCACGTACTTCTTCTTCCCCGACGGGTCCATCCGCTTCCCGGAGTTGGACAGCACCAGGGCCGGAGTGGCGGGCGCCGACGAGGGTGAAAACACCACCTCTTGGTCAATGCGCTTACCGGAGCCCGACAGGACCAGCACACGGACGGGCGGCAACCGTGGGCTCTGGTTTACGCCCGCCAGTCCCCATTCGGGGTCCCTCGCTCCTCCTGATCGAACAATTAAGAGCGGAATAATGCCACGCACAAGAGCAACCGGGGCGCAACGAGATGGCTAGGTAAGGAAGAAATCCATTACCCATTTCGATTTGGATCGTCATCTTCTTCGTTCTCCTCCCCCTCCCATGCGCTACCCAACGCAAGGAACCGCCATGGCCACGCGAAGGTTGCCAGGCTGTCCGGAGAACCACCCACACGAGGAAAGAGAAGCGATGAAGCCGATAAGTAATTACATACATATATATATATATATATATATATATATATATATATATATATATATATATATATCTATATCTATATATATATATAAATTGTGATGTCCTTGGATCTATGCATTGGGAATCGGATTGTGATGAGATCACGATAATGAGACCGATTCACCTTTAAACACAAATTCCAAATAATTCCGGATATAGGTTACTCGAGAGGGACATCGAGATAACTGGACAAACTAGTGTGTTGTATACCCATCCATATGATGGATGCAGTTGGTCTTATAGCTACTCATGTGGGGACACTATGGATACAGTACAGATGCTCATTGGAGAATGAGTTCACCAATTGATCCGCTTATGGAATGCTGGATGGTTGATGATACCTTATTATTAGACAGCAATTCCGTAGTCCTAGTAGTGTATTTGGTACTTAGACTTAAGACACTAAGGATGTCCTGTATTAGTGCTTCATTCTTTGATACGAGACTTATAGGTTTTGATATCACAAATCTAGTACAATCGGTCATCGGGAGTAGTAGTCAACCTTATGAGGGCTGTTGAGTATTGATAGAGGATTATCCACTCTCGGTGTCTTGAGAGGAATATCCCATGTGTTCTTACGCAAACAAATCCATGGCCAAGGTCATTCGGATTGAGAGAGAAAGAGTTCTCTAGGAGAATCCGATTAGACCAAGACTCTAGTAGAAACTGTATGGGTTTGATAGCACCATGCCCGATATACGGTCTTTGGGATATTAGATGGATGAGGGACTATAGGTACATGGTAACTAAGGACAGACAGGTCCAATGGATTTGATTCCCTTGTTTCGTCTAGGGACTGTATCCTAGAAATTTAGAACTCCGGAAGAAGTTAGAAAGGGAACTTGTGCATAAGAATTTTCAGGTTTGAGAGATCAAGATCAAGTGTTTATCACACAAGATTTCAAATAATTATTGCATCATGATCTTCTAAGTATCATTTTGTAACTAACATTTTTAATTCTTATGATCCCCTTTTTATTATTTTGGCTAGAGATCTTTATGGTTTATTTTGGATCTCTGGTCTTGAGCATCCACTATCAATGTACCCTCTCTTGCTCCTAGCTTATGATGGTAAATATTTCTTAAAAAAATGATGATTTTTAAGTATCTATTTGATCTTTGGTGCCTTAAAAATCGATCTATATAACTTATCATATTGCATTGAGTCATTTGACGTTCTTTTAGGAACCTAAATCGTACGTCCACAGTCGATGATGAGTTGAGTGAATTATTATAGAGATAATAATTCACTGAGCAAGAAGGAGTTATGATAGGTATGACTTACGATTAGCTCGATATTGTGCCTAGAAGGTCACACATATATTGTAGGTGTTACGATGAGTAGAGGTTCGGATATAAGATATCCACCGGACCCCCTATAATATTGCATATCCAATAAGCCCCTGAATTATTGGATCCTATGGACAAGATCCAATAAAAGCCCATGAGAGATTATTGGATAGAGATTTATTAATCTAAGAAGCTTGGGTAGTTGGATGAAGATCCAATATCCAATAGGGGTGGATCCATTAGGGTTAAGTTGATAGGGGGCCTCTATAAATCGGAGGGATTTAGTGGTTCATAGGCTAGAGCCTTTGTTTGCCTCTCCTATTCTTCTCCCCTGTCCACCTCAGAGTAGGCCTGGAGTTTTGAGGAGCATCATCGCTGCCCTACTATATGGATCACCCTAAGATAGGAGGGCGCTTGGCCTCCTTCACCCTCTCCTAGAGATCTGCAAAAATTCAGGGATATACGATCTCCCTAGGTAACACAATCTTTACTATACGCAGTTTTCTATTTCGTAGATTTTGCGCACCAATCTTCGCACGACGTTGAACATCACTTTGGGAATAGGGGATTTTAATTTTGTTCTTCCACTGCGTATGTGATGTCGCCCCCCCAAAGATTTCCCAACAGCGGTATCAGAGCCAAGTTATTCGTGCGAAAGATTGGTTTTGAACTGCGTGTGTTGTGTTTGTGTAATGCTTTTGACGTCAAAATTGTTGACGCAATAGGTGAGGAATGGAAGCAACTGTTGCTGCCCTTCCTGCACTCTAAGATGGCAGCCTAACATCTTCGTGGAGGCAGGCCGCCCGTAGGTAGACTTGCCTGCGATGCGCAAGGGGCGGCGTCGGCTCCCTCGGTCGCCGCCTATGGGCACAGCGTACGCAGGCAGCCAGTGCCGCCCTCCCATGGGCGAGCGGCCCACGGGGGCCGCGGCTAAGGGATAAACACTTGCGGGGAGGGGGGGGGGGGGGGGGGGTAAATTAGTGCAGCGAAAAATTCTTCAATTTCGTAGAAAGTTTGTCTCAATTCAAATTATTGTGGAAAGATGTTGAACTTAAAAACTTTCGTAAGAATGTAAGGAGAAGCTCAAGGAGATTTGTAGTAAAGTACATTGCATAAAATGAAAAGAAAACTAGAATTTAGAGTGGTTCAGTCAATAAGACCTACGTCCACTTCGGCTTCCTCCTTCGTCGAGGTCACTAGTGTCTACTAAAGGCCTTCCTTCAATAGGCAATGACCAACTACCTTTTACAGCACTTTCTCCTTTTGTCGGGTTTAGGAGATAACTCTTACAAGTTTCACTCCTTTTTCTTGGATGGTTACAAGGCTAAGAGAGGGAGGAGGAGAACTCTTCTCACTTTTACAATATATTTTACACTCCAAACACTTAGAATTTTTCACACATATGATATCACTTTGTTACCCTTTCATGCAGAAAAGGGTGGGGTATTTATAGGCCCCAATGACTTCAAAAGTTGGAGCCAAAAAATTCAAATTCTTGGATTTCGGGATGTAGGTGGTACCACCGCCTGACAAAGCTCGGAGACCGAGCTCTGGTTGTACCATCGCCTGATATGGGTGGTACCACCACTGGCAGCATTGATTGTCAATGGTACCACCACCCAAACTACTTGCGAGATTGGGTCACCAAGCGGTGCCATCGTGGGCCATGAATTCAGATGCTGAATGGGCTATCCAATCCGGTCTAATTTAGCCCTGTGAAGGGCCCAATTGACTCCTAACTGAGTTAGTGGGATCACCTCCCAATCCTAATTCAATTTATGAGTCTAACTATGATTAAGGCAAGCAATTATTCTGATATGTCGATCTTTCTCTCGGTAATCCTCCGGCGAACATTTTGGTGAGTCTTCCGACGTGCTTCCGGAGAACTCCCGACGAACTCTCGGCAATCTTCCGACGAACTCTTGGCGTTCTCCCGATGAGCTTTCAGCGATGAACTCTCAGCGATCTTCCGACGAGCTCTCGGCAATCTTCAGGTGAGCTCTCGGTATATCGTCCGAATCTTCGACTTTGGCCCATCATCTGCTTTACGCCCTATCACTTTCGTAATTAATCCTACGCACTTATCTCAACACATAGAATAGGTCAAATAATTTACTAATTGATTTTATCATCAAAATCGGAAATTCAATAATCTCCCCCTTTTTGATGATGATAACCAATTGGTGAGGGAGTTAATCTTAACTCCCCCTATCTATATGCCATACTTGAGAAAATATAAACTTAAATTCACAACCTTTAATTCAAGCTTTGATCGAAATTAGAAATATTGTGCATCATCATAATTTCAAGTCATCAAGATTTTTAAATGCTTAATCACTTCATGCATGATAAAATATTTCGGTATAGTCTTTCATCACTACTTGTATAAGGTAATATCATTAGTGCATTGTAGCACTCAAAAGTTATGAATCCGATATTGCATCATATATGATTCAATATTCAATAGAGATCATAATCATCATAAAAATTTTCAGCATCAAAGTAAGCACAATATTGCATCATTATATGATAACAGGCTCATCATTTAAAGAGATCACAACATCATAGAAATTTTCAGCATCAAAGTAAGCACAATATTGCATCATTATATGATAACATGCTCATCATTTAAAGAGATCACAACATCATAGAAATTTTCAGCATCAAAGCACAGAATTTCAACATCAAAGTAAATAGCATTTTAAGTTTATAACATCATGGTAAACAACATAGGATTACAACATCAAAGTAAGTAGAATAACGGAGAGGGATTTCGTCCACTTCTTCCCCTTTGTCATCAGCAAAAAGATATACACAACTATTTATATGGTGGCAAGTCAAAATGTCTAAACAAATTATTGAGTTGTTGATGAATCTGCTGCAACTCAGTTAAAATTTGATCTTTGTGTTGTTCAAGTCGATCTTGATATTGTTTAAATCGATCCATTCAAGTCCCTATGTCGTCGATAGATGAGGGAGGTGCTTGCTCTGTTGGAGGTGTTGCCTCAAAGGGACCAGTTAGAGGAGATTGATTACCCCTAAAAATTGGTGTTTTTGGTTAGGGAGGATCAGTCCTTCTAGGCAGTCTAATCCATATCCCATTTCTAAATATACATCTCAACCATCAAAGTAGGTTTCTATTTATGACATTAAATCTATCTAGTTTCATAACTTCTTCATCAGGTGGGAAAAGCTATGTCGTAAGCATGGATTAGTCTTCTAATCAGGCTACCATATGGAAGCATCATATCCTTTTTCGATAGTTCAATCATATTTTGTTGAATTAGGGAGCCAAAACAAATTTCATGTCCTTTCATATACATTGTTTCTATTTCCATTTGGTTAACTTCATCATGATGATATTGTTTTGGAATTATAATGCTTATCAAGATGTGATGAAGTATTTTGGTGTTGAAAGGTAATAAATATTCACAGCTTTTAGGAAGAATAGATAAGTTAGGATTACCAAAAATTGTTCCTAAGACATCAGTATAAATAGTCCCAACTGATTCTTCATCCCATTGTCCTCTAAAATAATAATATTTTTTTTGCTCCATAATTCCTATGAGGCTGCAAATCATGCTATCCGAAATGGGTATATGATGTCCTAAGAGATAAGTAGATACCCTTTCATTTTCATCTACATGTAAATTATT